ACACAAGAGGTCACCTTTAGATTATATTCTCTTCACCTAAAGTAAACTTAAGAATAATAAGTGTTTTAATATTAATGACAGTTTTATTTCACTCTACATAAAGACCTTATGTGTCACTGTAAACATGCAATAAACAAACATTTCTGTTCCAGGTATCTGACTCAGAGCGATGGACTCTGGTCGCCTCAGAGCTTCCTCAGTGACAGAGACAGATGTCTGGACCCGGAGGAGGAGAACCAAGCTCTGCAGCGTTCCATTCAAACCCTCCAGAGGCAGATCGCCACCGAGCAGAGCCGAAGGGAGGCTGTGGAGCGAGAGATCGAGTTCACATCCAGGGAGAACAGAGGCTTGGAGCAGCGACTGGCCCAGTTGGAGGGCTGCTGGACCCGGCAGACTGAGCTGGAGGAGGAAGTGGAGCAGCTACGGCTTCTGTGGCGAGCCAGCAGGTCAGAACTGCAGCGTTCAGCCATGATGAATGTGTACTGCTGTAGAACCAGAATTTGCTGCAATTAAAGCTTCACCTCGTTAACCAGTTTCACATATTTAGAGACAGCATTTGTTGCCTGTTCTGCTTTGCAAAATACCCCTGACCCAGGTTTTAACTAGACCCTTCAAACATAAATATTCTTTGATTCAAACCATAAAGTTTTAGTGAGACTTTGGGTTTTTCATTCTATTTTTCCAGGATTGTCCTTTATCTAGAGTTGACCATCTTCTAATCAACTCAGCAGTTTTCTTGTCTCTGGTAATGAAAAACAACTCCACAGCACAATGCTTCCCCTGCCATGCTTTACATTATGGATGGTGATTTAAGGGATAAAAGTCACTTTGCATGTCAGCCAAAGTTTATTGTGTACCTTCTGAAGCTAATTGTTTGCACTGGATTTTATTTAGGAGTGTCACAGTAAAGGGTTCTGAACACAATTGTATGCTGCAGTTTTTAGATTCTGATTTGTAAAAAAAAAATAATAATAATAATCCTTATTGCTTTTCTTACTTTGCACTTAAGCTTTCAGCAACAAAGCAGTCCAAAGTGCATCACACCATAAAAGCATGATTCTGTCAATTGCCATCATCAATGTTCATCCAAATATTAAAAAGTTAACTCTCATAGCAAGGAACTGTAAATTCATCTTGTTTATGTTTCCGTTTCGTTTTGCTCTCAGGAGTGTGAGGAGACCGAGCCAGCTGCTGTTGCCCGAAACTGTGTTCTTTGGCTCCGAAGAGAGACAGAGCGAGGCAGACGAGACATCTGAGAAGGAAGAGGAGCAGACGAGGCGACGCCGACAGAGGTGTCACAGCGAAGGCGTTTCAAAGGCCACAAACACGGATGAGCTCCGTCGCGGTCATGAGCAGCTGTGCATCAGGCGGGCGGAAGCAGTGAAACAGAGAGGCATCTCTCTGCTCAATGAGGTGGATGCACAGTACAGTGCCCTCCAGGTGGGAGAAGCAGACATGGAGTTAATCCCACAAGTTTTATACAGTATTAGGCAGGACTCTTGCAGAATTATTATGAATGTGTTGGTGTTTTCCAGGTAAAGTACGAGGAGCTGCTGCAGCGTTACCATAATCTAAAAGATGGACTGAGCCACAATGCCGTCCAGACCTCCAGCGGTTCCTTTGCCACCGCCTGGGTGCGCCGCCGCCTCTCCAGCTCGGCTGCAACATCCGATCTAAAGGCTCTACCTGAAGACGGGCACCAGCCCGAGTACAAGGTTCTCTTCAAGGAGATCTTCACCCGCATCCAAAAGACTAAAGAGGACCTCAGCAACGACAGGCACCCGACACGCAGCAGTGATTCTGCAGAATGAACTTCATGCATTCATCTTCCCTGGATTTACTTTGATTTCTGTTCAGGAGATGCACTGAGGCTGCTTTTCTGTAAAGCTTTACAGAGGGTGCACAAGCTACATGTTTGACACTTTTGTTAGTTTGCACAGTTTGTTTTTTCTGTCCTAATGGGGAAAAAATGGTTGGTTTAAAAATAAAATGTAATGGTTATGTTTTATACAAAACAGAAAACAATATAGAAAAATATAGTACATAAAGAAATTATGTTTGTGAAAAATTTTTAAACTGCATTTCAGTGCAACAGTCCAGAAGTATTACTATTTTCTGCTGTATTTATATAATATGAACTCACTTGATCTTTCTGGTGTTTGGAGTAGAAAGGTTTACGTGTTGCTAGAGCTTATGGATGCATTGTGTAAGTAGAAATGTTGCATAAGGCCGGAAAAGAGTAGAAATGTAATCAGAGGTTTCTAAAAGTTGAAATACTGGCTGGTTTTACGAAAGTTGGTGATGGTCTGGTTTCTAAACCTTTGTTGTGGTGTTAATATAAAGCATTTAGGGCAAAATCTCTTTTTTTTGTTGTTACTTTCATATCAGTAGCAACATTTTTGCTCAACTACAAGATGCAAAAGATTTGCACAACTTCTGCTTATTTATTACCAAATGTATTTTCTTTGTATGTAACTAATGAAACGAGTCAGCATAGCAGCACTGTGTTGTAAATGTATGTTATTAAAAAAATATAAGCTGATTTTGTTCTAATCTTTAAGACGAGTCTAACAAAAATAGATGAATTATAAATGTTCAGACCCTCAGCTGTTGAAAAACTGAAATCAGAACAATTATGTCTCACAGTTAATGTTTTTGCCCCCTCATTACATGTTTTGTTCGAAAATAAAACTATTTGGCATGTAGCAACATGAGTATTTGGGTTTTGTGTTTTGGGGTAGTAGTTTGAGTTCTCCTTCCTGCATAAATTCCTGCCAGGTAATCATGAGAGGAAAGCAGTGGAAATTAAGTCCTTTTCGTCATACCACATGACATTTACTTTACCAACAAACAAAAATTGTCATTTGACCTGTTTTGGGAGCCACTTGTATTTCCATAAAAGTGATTTCAACATCCTACCCTACTTTTTATCAGCCTCCAAATCCACTAAACCTTTGAACAAGAGGATTGCATACCAAGCTCACAGAGACAGACAAGTCTTTGCAAAAGCTGAGCATGTAGGCTCAGAGCACAAAACAATCAGGAGGGATAAAGTCACAACAAAAAAGCAGACATCAGATTGAGCATAGCTTTAAATTTGTCCAAGATTTTATTTCATGTGCAACATGTACTTTGGTTTTCTTAGTTGGTAAGTAGTATAAAAAAATTCTTTGAATCATTTCTCTTTTTTAAAAAATAATGAAACAAATTTCAATAAGGCAGAGCTAACATGAGAAAATACAAAAAAGCAGATTTCATACAATTATTAAATCGTTTGTTTCGATGTAGAACTGTTTTGAAAATTAAACTGCAGAGTTTTGTTACTGTAGAGCTGCAGTTGTCCCTTTAGCTTAGCAAGGATGGGTGACAGAAAGTAACTACTGTCTCTGCTTTATTATGCCACCCTACGCTGAATTAACCACATTTCTGCACGCCTGGTGATACAAGTATTTGTGACTCCAACTCAGCGCAGATTCCTCACATTATTCATTCATGAATTTCCATGAATTTGTTCGTTAGTTCCTTACGAACAAAAAGAGCCTGTGTGCACCGCCTACAAAGGAAGCAAAGTAAGCTAACTAACATCCATGTAAGTCAAAAGTAAAAATCCCGTTGCGCTGCACCGTTTCTGCCCTTTCTACTATCTAAAACTGTTTCCGGCGGTTGAACCGCCGAGGTAGCGTGGCCGAGTGGTCTAAGGCGCTGGATTTAGGCTCCAGTCATTTCGATGGCGTGGGTTCGAATCCCACCGCTGCCAAGAAGCTTTTTTTTACTTTGATATTAGTTTTACTTGAACGTGTTACTATAACTAATGATGCCTATTAAGTATGTTAAGCATAAAACCTGTGCTGTCTTCTATAAATTCTTCATATTAATAGCTATGTTGGCCATTAAAATGATTAGAAAGTGTATCAGCGCTCTCTGGTGGGTATATTCAGAATGACAGTACAAATTTTAAAGAACTCTTCTGAGTCTATGAATATTTATTTTATGCTTTCACAACTTTGGTAGATGCACATAGCAGACGATTTGACAAGACTGTGTATTTTGGTAATATTTATTCATTATTTTAAAGTCTTCTGTAAACCATATTTGAAATAAACCACCAATCAGTCATTTGTTGTGATACTAACTCCAATTCAAAATAAATTTTTGAATAAGCTATTTTAATTTGATTTTGATTGTTCTTTTCATTCCCTATTGTTGAAACCCTTTCAGACTTTGACATTTCATGCTAATGTTTTTTTTTTATTTTTTTTCAATCTGATCCAATATGCTTGCATTTTTTTCTATTTTTGATTCAGGTGTATGCATGTTTGCGCTTTTTCATGTCTTATTTTATAGCTTTCAGTAGGTTTCTTTGAAGTCATAGTTTTAAAGGTTACCTTAGTATTTAGTATAATTATTTAGTTCATAATTACTAATTTGCAAAGGTTACTTTAAAAGATTATAATTATGTTCAAAATAAATAAATAAATATGCATTAGGAAAAAAGTATTTTTATTTACAAAATAAATCAGAAAGAGAGGAAAAAATGGAGGTATTTTATTCACTAAATATAGAATTTAAAAAGATAGAATTACAGAATGTTCACAGTTATTTTCTATATAGTGAGAACAGAATTTTTAAAGGATAATCAGGAAAAAGCTGGGGAATAAAATATATGAAAAATATGTTTCTATGACAATCTTTAGAAGGGCGTCTTTTGGAGGTGTAGCACAAAATGCAAGCAAGCCCAAGAGTTAAGATTTAGTTTTCTTTAAATAGGAATAAATTATTTAAATTATAAATATTTTCATTACTTTTATTAGTAACATAAAATGTTTATTTTAGCATCCATTAAACATTTCATTCATTATAATTATTTTTATTTCTAAAAGTGTACAAAATATCAACCTCTGTAGTAAATAGTCACTAAAGAATGTTATCATACAAACTGGAAGCATGCTTCAATAAATGACAATTAATCATACAGACCAAAAATTAAACTATTAAATTCATAAATATAAATCTCCTTTAATACTTTCAAGCTTACATAATTTTAAAAGAAAAGGAAATTTGTCTAATTTGTCTACATTCAACAAATTATTTGAAGAGGAGAAAAAGAAAAAAGGACTCTTGATGAGTTGAACTCTGCGCAAGTGAGAAAAGAGTTCAAAGTTGTTGCAACAATTAGGTGTGAAAGCCTCTCCATTGCAGCAACTATTTAACTCTAACTGAGGATGCCATAGATCATGAGCAGCACCAGGCCGAGTCCCATCAGCAGCAGCAGGACGCCTCTTTCAGCCAGCTGCCTGACAGAGGGCAGGGATAAAGAAATTGGGGTGTCACGACTTTGTCGGATCTTGAGGTAATGCTCCACGGAGTCCGCCAGGCTGTACGGCTGTGGGCAGTAACCCAGTTCTTGACGGGCCTTGTCGATTTTGAAGGTGTGGCTCACTGTGATGTTTCGGACCTGCAAAAGAAGATGGGACCCTCAGAAATCATTTCAAGAAGCTCCTGAAGCATTTGGAGGAAAAATTCATCTCATTCTCATTTGTAACTCTGATGACCTGATCCCCTCATGTTGAAGAAAAGTAACCTCGCAGAATTATGTCATCGGGGGAAGTCCAGACAGAGAAGGGAAATTTTCCAGTTTTGTGTCTTCATAACTGGCTTTTTTCCATTCTCTAAAGCTCACCTTTTACAGAAAAATCAACAAAAGGTTTTTTTTCTGTATGACTCATTAACAGTTTATCCATATGATCTTGCATAAGACATTTTACAGTCAAGGAGTGAAGGACTACAGAGTCTGGATCAGCACAGACTTACTAAAAATACCTCAATTTGGCATGTGAAATTTTCTTCATGTGACTAAAGAATTACACACACAAAAATAAAAATATAAAACTCCACATGACACCAAAGCAACAGCCACTCCACTGACATCACTTCCTGCTATCAGCATGTAAAAACTTCCTGTTTTGACCCCACAGCACTTTATGTTTTATTCACGGGGCAACCATCGATCTGAGTGGCCTGCAAGCCGCAGTCTGACAGAATGAGCAGCAGGTAACGTCTGCGGCGCTCAGCTTTGGTTTCGGCTTCATGTTGCATTTATGAAGACCCGACGGGGCTGCAACCAAGACTCCTCAGGACTCACAGTGAAGGCCTCCAGATGATTATTCAGCCTCACAGCAGCTACAGGAGGACTTTACAGTGAGTCCCGTGGAGGATTCACTATTATTACTTAGTGATATTAGACAAAAGTGCTGCTTGGTTTAAGAAATAATCCATTCAATCAACTGATTGCATCTCAGACTGGATTAAATAGACAATGATACAATCCATGTTATTTCTAAACTCCATAGTTCAGATTTATGACAATAAAATCTCTCAAAAATAATGTGTGGAACAGTTTTTAAAATGTATTTTCCTAAATTATGAAGGTAAAATAAGGAAAAGGAAATACAGTGTTCCACTAAAATATTCATACCGCATCTGAATGTTTTGAACCATCTTCATGGAACGTGTCTCAAACTCAGACAGATTTGAAGAAAAGCATGTGTAACACTGTCAAATTCATTTAGGTCTGGGCTTTGACTTATCACATGAACAAATTTTTATCCAAACCATCCAACTTTGGCTCTTGTTGCATGTTTTACCTAAAAGGTTTTTTTTTCTGTCAGCTCCTACCAACTTCCTGGTTTTCTGAGGGAAAGCCTTCCCTCAGCATGATGCCGCCCCACCGTGCCTCATTGCAAAGGTGACAATTTCATCAAGATCAATGATGTTACTTTTTTATTATTATTATTTCGAAGGCAGTTAGCCAAACTTCATTCAGCGATATAAGAGTAAAGATGCACACAAAGCTCTTCAGATTTTTATGTATCCCTTCCCTGTTGTCCCATCAAATTAAATTATAAAAAATTTGAAATTTTGTAATGTGGCAAAATATAAAACAGTTGGATATATGAATTTTTTTTTTGAGAGAAGACAACCATAAATCTGGACTCTGAGCAAAGAAACCTCTTATTCTTTACTGCATGCAGTAGCATCAATCCTCAGGTTTTGGCATTTACAATTGTTCTTACTCTCCACTCTGGAGGATTAACATCTGAAAACTGAGTTTATGTGAATAGAGATAGATAAATTAAACAGGTTTTTATCTTGCCTTACAATCATTTCTGCAGTTGTCACGATGATATTTCGGTTGGAATGTTATTTCTTCAAGCATTACAACAAACAGCAAATATTTTTTTCATGAGAGGAAATAAATCACAAACAGGTAAAAGCTGGTTTTTCTACGTCTTGATAGTGAGTCGATTAGTGTGTGATCTTTCTACAGGAGTCTCAGCATATTATTTAAATAACTGTGACATCCACAATCACAGTTATTTTAGTATTTTTTTTTTATTTAGGACTAGAAGCGCAGTCTTTACCACTCTTTGACTTCTCCTAAGTCAAATAGAAACCCTAAGAAAAAATAGAAAGAAGCGGGCTTACCTCACTCCTGGTAAAAAGCAGAGGCACTTCGATCACCGGACTCAGAATCACATGTAAAAACTCCACCAGAATAGCTTGAAAAGGGGACAGTCAGAGAATCAGAGGTAAATCTTTGCATTCGAATGAAAATGTCCAAAAAAAAAAAAGAAAAGAAAAGAGGAGTGGTGAGCTACCTGCTGAATAGACAAGAGAAACTGGGACGGTTATCGATGGTCTGCTGTAGCCCAGTTTTTCAAACTGTGAAGATAAAAAAAATAATAAAAAATCACCTTAGACTAAACTCTCAAATAAATTGTGTTTAGTCTACAAATCCTTGTAAGTTTACATCACAATAATGGTTGAAGTTAACCCACAGATTCTGACTCACCAAAGGTGTCAGCCACTCAAACAGATTGACTGAAAGGCCATCATTAATGAAATACGCCTGCCCGCTCTGCAAAATGGCAGAAACATTTTTAAAAGGACACGTAAGTAACTCAAACTGTGGCAGACATAAAACTATGTGTAGAACTGTGTCTTTACGACTCACAGCGACGCAGCCTTTCGTCTTTGTGAGAGCCTCAGCTGCAAGTTTGTGGGCCAGGACCAGATTATCTATGTGGACCCAGTTCATCCTGGCCGCTGGGTCTCCAAACCTGAAGCTGAACAGGCGCCGTTCTACGTTCATCTGACACAAAGAACAAGAAATATGCAACTTAAGATCCAGTTTTCACCAGATACATGTGACATAGCTATAAAATGTACCTACCAGTGTTTAATTCAAGTCAATTTGATTTTTAAAAGTTAGACAAAATCAAGAACATAGATCTCTTGTGGATGTAATTTAGGTATGTCAGAAAAAAATCTCACAATTTACAACCTTGTATTTTCTATTACAACTACCTAATTTCAGCAACAAATTTTTGCCTTGAAGCACAATTTCTTTTCGTTTTTGAACATAACAGACTTCACCAAGTATACATTTTGCTACATTTAAAAAAAATGTAGCAAACCAAGATACAGAAGGTATCCAACTTTATGCTGTTTCATTCTTAGATTTTAAAAAAATCTCTTTTAACGTTTTGTGTAAGTAGTTTTTTTATGAACATTTTATCCAATGAGTACAGAGATTTGTATCTTTTCTATTAAAAAGAAAGTTAAATTGTACATAGATGTTCTCAAATACCAGTTTTAAATGATTCAGGACACATATTAGCCCATGATTAAGTGTTTACATTTTGATACTTTAGCAAATGTAATTTGCAAACTAACTATACAAAAATAAGTAAATAAATATTACTATCACTAGTCGGAGTTGTGGTAGTACGGATGTAATTCATCTGGTTATTTAGAAGCTGATTAGAATATAAATAATTTGCTGATGTGTCTTTGTAGCTGTCAAACCAAAATAATTTCTATGTTCATTAAAAGGTACCTTAAGAAAACCAAACTTCATTGGCTAAATTCTAGCAGATTTAACGCTGTATAGCACAAATTCTTTGCCAAGGTTGCTACAACAATACATCACTAGCAGAAAATTAAAAGTTATAATCTTGGCCAAATGCTAAATCCTTTCCTACATCCAAAACTCAAACGACTGCTACCATGCAGGGGGAGGAGGGGAACTAGAAGAAAAGGCGTCGTAACTGGATGCCTGGAGAGCTCCATCAATAATGTAAACTCTTCTAACAGGAGTGTGTGCTGCCAGAGAGGCCCTCAGACATGGCTGTTTGCTCACCATCACTCTGTGAAGATGTCTCCTTTCTCCAGGTCCATAGATGCCACACGGCCGCAGGACGCACGTCTCCAGTTTCCCTCCACCTTTAGAAATAAGAGCAGTAGTGAATATGCCAGTTTTTTGGGAGGGATCAAACTAAACAAAACTCATACATCCAATGTAAGAAAATATGTCAACAAAGACTCGGTTTCAATCATTTGACTGCATTGATGAATTGTCGAGACTCATGCAAATAATACAAAACAAACAAAAAAAAGGGCTTAGAGCTGAGGCAGGTTTTTATGCAAGGTGTCATTCTGACAGTCAAATAAGCGTTAACACCTACAAGAACAACAATATAGCATGAAAGCATAAGACCAGGGCAACTACAGTGAGATAAGAATGTAAATGTGCTTTGCTACATCCTCCTGCTGCTGAGGTGACTTAATGCCAGTGGAAAAAACGTCCTCTGATAGCAGATACACGCACATTAAGCTGCAGTATATAACGTGACACCTGAATGCTTTATGCTTAATTAAATGTATGGGAAAATGATCAGTCATAGTGAGTTGGATTACACTGAGGAATGGAATAAGAAACTATATAGCAAAGACATAAGGCACAATTTTCCTAAAGTAAAACAAACTTTAATTTATTTTACTTTAGTTTTTTGTGATAGACCAGCTCAAAGTATGGTCTGCATAAACATTCAGCACCTTTTCATTAGTTTCCTGCGTAAAAAAAATATCCAGTACAGCCAATTGCCTTTACAAGTCACATCATAAGTGAGCGTAAGCCACCTGTCAGTCATTGTAAATACAGACGTTCTTTGAAGATCTCAGGCATTTCACCGGAAAACTGCAGGAAAGTTGTTGAGAGCTTTAAAGTAGGATTACTTCATAAAACAATATATCAAGCACTGGACATCTAGAGCATTATTTGAAAATGACAAGTTTTTTTTTTTTTTTTTTTTTTTTGTTTCTCCTCCACTTCGTGATTATGCAACATTTTGTGTTGGTCTAACACATGAAGTCAAAGAACAATTTCAAATTTGTTGCAACATCATAAAATGTTCAGATAAATTACTTTTACAAATGACTGGAAAAGTCATCTAGTGACTGTTTCTGCACACAATGAGTTGAACTTCACTCTCAGTTCTCACATCTGAATATACAGGACTGATTGGATTCTCCCCTATGTGCAACCTGTTTCTATAAATCTGCGCTCAGGTTGTCACTTCTCTCACTGATATTTCTGCACCTTTCACTGAGGACCCATTGGCCGAGAGGACCATCTGCTCTGCCACCGCTTTAGTTCTGGAGTAGTGGTCGATGTGCTGGAAAAAAAAAAAAAACATAAAAAACCCCACTGATTTCTTACATGTCCTGGTGTTTAAAAATACAGTATATGTACAAGATTTTAAGACGTGTTTTGACTGCTGCTTACCAAATCACTGGGCACATATGGCACTGAAGCCTCATCTCCATCCACAATTGGTTTCCCAGCAAACACCACGTTGATGGTGCTGGTGTAGACCAGTCTGGGGATTCCTCTCTCTTTACACACTGACAGAAAGCAGATCACACCACAAAGCAAAGTTTTGTGACAAATGACAGCTGGTAAAGGTGACTTCTTCACACGACAGTGCTAAATTACTCTCATCTATGTAGACTCCGGTTTTGGGAAACACCATCTCTGATCACATATTTTAAGCATGAGACAGGAGTTAGAGCGGCACTTGTTGTCGAAGAGCAATATCTCACCATTTATGACATTAGTGGTTCCTCCAACGTTGACTGATTCCACCTGCTCCTTCCTCAGCTGGGTTTCAGAGAAACAGTACAAAAATAAATAAAAACAAAACAAAACCTTGTCACATTTCTTAGAAGATGTTGTGTGAAAAGCTAATAGTGCACTCTTACTCTTACTTCATGAGGAGTCCTGATTTTGGGATTTGCATTGGATTTTAAAAATAAGCCAAGAAGGCCAATTTGACCTGATCTAATCAGAGCAACCTCTTTCCACTTGTTTGTTGTTTCTCCAGTTTGTTTTTTCATGGTTTTCTTTCGACAAGGTCGATATCAACTCTTCCATATTTTGGAAGCGTTGTCCCATCAATAAAGTCTTATCAACAAATTCTTCCACGATCTCTGCAGTTCCAGTTTTCATTTTTTGTTACATTTTGCCAGCTGATAAACCTCTGATGCTGCCACAGTACAGCTGCTTTTCCATTGAGGTGAATTTACACACATTTAGGCTCCATTTACCAACAGGTGATTTCTTCAAAATCACTGACTTTTATTTGGGGGTGTCAGATTAAAGGGACTAATAACAAATGCTACATTTAAAACAAAAAATCTTTTAAATTTTATCCATAATAATTGTCAAAAACCATGACTTAATTTGCTTTCAATTCCCAGTTCTACCAACTTTGTGTTGGTCTATCACATCACCTTCCAACAAAAACAAACTGAAAGAGTAATAAAGTTCAAGGCTTATGAGCATCTTTAAATGGATGTATTCAGTCACAAAGAGGCAAAATTTTTGTAAGGAATGAACGCACATGTACTTCAAGTATCTCAGATCACATTTGACTCGTCACTTCACAATGTCTACCAGGAATTCAGACCACATTCTTTACTGGAAAGTGTGGTGTACATGACTCAAATCAAGATTTCCTTGTGAGTTTTTAAAGCAAAATCAGCAGTTCTTTTAATTATTATTACTTCACAGTGACCTTAGCTTATAACTCCCAAAGAGCTGGACAATTTCATTGTTTGTGAAGCCGTTTTATGCCTAATTCACCGAGAGCATCGTGGCTATACATACTGAAGGGCACAGAAGCAAACGCCCTGTCATTCAGGTTGGAGGACTTTTCATTGCAAGGAGAATGTGTTAACAATTTAGAGGCTTGTCTGGCTGCTGTGGGTTTCAGCGACATTCAGTATGACCAACTCTAGCTCATGTTCAAATAGGGAAGAGGAAGATCACCTGCTCTGGTCCAGACATGCCATAAGATGCTGTGTGAAATATGCAGTCCACTCCTTCACACACTTTGTACAGGGAGGAATAGTCCCGAATGTCGCTCTGAAAGAAACAGCGAAAACCATGTTGAGGTTATTTTATTTATTTATTTTTTTGCAAATAGGGGGTAGTGTCTGCTGCATGTGTAATAAAAAAACAATACCAAACAAACATTTGGTAATATTTTTTTGTCAAGTGAAAGCCTGCCGACAGCGGTGTGCAGGTGAAACCTGATTCATGTCTCCACCCTCTGTGACCCAGCAGGCAGCTGGCGCTCTGAAACAGATCGCTCACCTGCGTCTCCAGCCAGCACACTGACCTGATGCACACACAGTGACACTAGAGCTCAACTTCACAGCTAACAGCTGAGTGAGCTGCACTGTTTGGCTGCAAGAGAGCAAATACTACAAACCCAATACGAACCAAGCTAAATCATCTCAGCGAATAAATTGATTAATTCAAGAAAAACATGTCCCTGCAAAGTAATAATAATAATGAAGAAAGAAATTATTAGGAAGAACAATGCACACTATATAAATAAATAATAAACTGAATAAACAAAAAACAAAATAAAAATGTTATATATTCACCTTCACTGAATTACATTAGTGGTGAAAACATTCAACTTGAGAGTAAGAAAGGGTATTCATTATATTATGTGATGAAAATTCATAAGAAACACCAGCCTCCCCTGTTTCATCACTCCAAAAAAGTAATTTTTCCCAGTACAGCACATTAATGAGAGCCAAAAAATAAAATTGAATCAATAAGTGCGGAATAGTTCTATTGGTGGAAACCCTGTAAGAAGAAAGGCATGATAGTGGGGAAAAAACAGAAGGATTGGGGTTTCTTCCCCCCGTGAGAATCACCTGAAGGAAGACTGCTCCATCAGGAATATCCCAGAGAGGCTTGTTGACATCCAGAAGGATCACAGTCATCCCCTCACTGGCCAGCTCTTTCCCCAGCCTGAAGCCAAAATATCCCCCTCCTCCTGTCACCAACACCTTCCCTTTGCAGCTGTCCCAGGCTGCTCTTCCCACCTCCAGTCCCAGTCTTGAAGCAGCACAGTTGGGGCTGTTGCAGGTGCCAGCCGTGGCCCCGCTGACCCTGTGGCGGAGGGCTGGCGCACCCCCAGAGGAAGCAACCAAGGATGGATCGCTCAAGCACTGCTTGTGAGGGAGGTTTGAGTGGTTGAGTGTGTGATGCCCACCGGCCTGCAGGCGAAGCAGCGGGGCGCCGTGGCAGGGCAGCTGCTTCATCTGGCACATGGAGGCCCCACTGTCACCCATGCTGGGGCTGTACAGGTCAATAGACATCCTGAGGGAGGGAACAGGGAAAGTACTGAGGGGTACTTGTTTATTTGTTAGACATGCATCTTCAGCTTTTTTCACAGAAATTCATCTTGTTAATTTTTAACCTCCAGCAATTAGCTGAATGTGACAAGTTCAAACTGTCTTAGCTGCTTTCACACATAAGTTATTATTAGATGCTTTGTATATAAATAATTATACAGTAAATACAAAAAGCTTAAATTTTCACATGACAAAGAACATTTTACAAGAACTTCTCCTGTTAAATAACTCCAAATGTCTGCTGTTTTTTCCTGAAATTTATCTTAAGCTGCTGGGAAACCTTTTTCATGAATTGACTCACCTTACTGTGTTCCTCCTCGCCTCACATACATACCTGTGTCTGTCAGCTGTCTTATGAAGAAATTCTAGTTCTGCTGTATCTGTGGGCCCTCCAAACACTCCGCCCATCAGCCACCTGAAGGAACTCCTACCGTAATGTCTGGATGAAGTGCACAGGGAGAATCCTTGCTGTAAAAGCAGTGCCCCCCTCCCCACCGATTCATATCAAACTTTGAGTAAAACTCAGGAGTTGGCTTTATAAAAGTGTGTCTTCTTAAAGGGAGCACCAGGAGATCTAACAACAAACTTGTCTATCGTTCAGGCGACATTGTCAGCAATTACCGTATCATAATTTCAGAACCCCAAATAGGAGGCCAGCTGGAAAAGTCTGCTGAGGTTGTGTAAAAATCAGTGACTTTATCTCGTATTATAACTTTACGGCTCTTGTATCAGAACTGACATTCTCTGATACAAGAGGAACTGATTAAAAAATGTCACATGCATTAGTGGGTCAAAGCAGCTGATATAATGCTCTAAATGGGTTATTAATAAAGTTTTATTCTTATTAGAGTCATCGAGAATTCAGAGATTTTTCTATTTTGATCTCAGAAATCTTTTACTCCTTTTACCTAAAGAGTTAAAGAGGACATGTCCAAGCATAAAAGTTGTGCTATATTTCATAAGTTCTTCTTTTTCCAAAGGTTTCTTACCAACCACATGACAGGCGTACAACTACATAGATGCAAAAGCTGTGTTGCAAATTGGAAATTTGTCACAAAATTTTGTCAACCAAGTTAACAGGAGAGGAGCATGGAGAGTGTCTGTCAAAGACAACTCTGGATTAGCTGCAAAGAACCATATCTCCAGACGGAAAAGGCCAAAATAATGTACACATTGGGACACAATTACATGTATTGGCATTTGTGTAAAAAATTGAGATAGCAACTATTTTGCAGAGAGACCATTTTCAGGAAAGCTAATGCACACACGTGCCAGAAGATCCGCGGCTGCAACTGCAGGAAACTGATACATTTAGAAAATCTTGTATGATTTTCCTTTGGAGTTACAAATATGTACCACTTTTTGCTTATTGCAAAAAAATACATTAAAATGAATCAGGGTTTGGTGAAAAAGTGAAATTTTTCACTTCAGGATCAAGTGCCAACAAAAAGCAGAAAGAAATTGTGATGATTTAAAGGGTTTGCGTTAACTTTACCTACTATAAAGTAGACAATGTTGTAGAGTATCTACATTTGGAAAAATAAAAGGCATGCCAAGCAAAGAAAACCTCTTCAGGTTTCAGTTTTCATATTTGTTATGAATCTCCAAACATTTGATTAATAAAGAATAAAAAGTGAGGGAGAAAATCAAATTTGTCAAAAATGTTCATGAGATTGACCTGGGTTATGATAATAAACCATTTGCGGCTGTAATCATTAAGATAGAAAAATGTCATCATGTTACCTCTGCCTCCATTATCTGCTGAGAAACATGATGATAGTAAAGAAAAATGATAGAAACAGTGACGAGATGGAAAGGAAAACATAAGACAACAGAATAAAGCCGTATCATTTGGAGGACAAGTAACTCGACCAAGGCCAAATCGTCAGCCACAGTCACTTCCTGAGCCCAGTGGTTTTGGGGACAACAGAAATAGACGCTTAATGTTTTATTTAGCTGGCAGCCGACAAGAAGCTGAACCTGAGATGATGGCTGAATACGCTGCGAGTAGTTAAAGAGAGGAGGAGAAAATGCTTTAAGCTGCAGGGATCTGATGCAGTTAGGAAATGTAACAACACTTACGGTTCTGAAACCCCCTTTTTATTGCTATGCCCTCGTTATTTTGTGATGCAATATCTAGTTAGATCTTCAGCTAGGGTTTAGTAGCATGCTATTATTTTTTATTTGATCAGTCTGTTGTTAATGGAAGGACTCTGAAATGCAGATGCATTTGCCCCTTTGCAAAACTTTATTCTTAAATACATTATATTTCTAATAATTTCCAGAAAGGAACTCACTTTAAAAAATATTAAGATGACTGACTTAATTATTGCGAAGTAGAAATAGTTTTACATTTGTTTGTTTAATCTGAAAACCTTAAAATTCAGTTCAGAAGTTAATGACAAGCATTATTGAGATGAGATAGAAATTGAACCTTTCGGTATAAACGCTTTAGACAAAAGAACAATAACACTGGATATAAAATAGACAAAACTGACCATACTCACTATGAAACAAGGCAGTGGCAGCATAATGCAGCACCAAACATGATCTCACCTAGAGGTATACGTCAACACTTTTATTTAATTTGGTCCTGGTTCCATCAGTGATGAAGCAATGCTCTTTCAGATGTTCACAAACCAGAATGTTGTTTTAAAACCTCACTCTGTTGTGCGCCTTTGTCTTCATGATGCTGTGTGATCACCAATGTTCTCTAACACACATGTGAGGCCTGCACAAAACAGCTTGATTTAATATGAGGTCAAATTGTACACATGTGGACCTTATTTGCGAAGGAGCTGACCTTTGAAGGCAAACAGTTAGACTGGATTTTATTTAGGAGCAGAAAGGGAAACAAATGGTGCCAAAATCTGACTTTGTTGAATTCTAACCTATTTGTATTGTACATTAATCCCAACCACATTTATTGACATAAAAACACAGAAGAGACCAATTAGTCTCTTTTGGTCTTTTCAAAACACTGTTTTATATCATGGTATGTAGTTACACCTACACACCCCAGGAGAGAAGACTTTATTTTTTAACACCATTAAATTACTATACACTGCTTCTTCTGACCATCAGATATGTACCGTCTGTCTGCTGTTCTTCGTTTGTTACCTCAGCACTCGGTGTGACAATGGTGGAATTGAGTTACTTCCTCATTAAATGTTCTGCACTGAATTGATTCACCGTCACCCCGGCTGACCTGCTCACTGGGAGCGGTGCTCAGGTACAGCCGGGGCTCTAAGGGAGCGATAAATCTGAAATTCAAGTAAAGAGTGGAGGGTGAAACCACAGAGGACATGAGAGATGTATAAAGAACAGCTTCCTGTTGTCACGTCTATCTACTTAACTCCAAGTTGGCCAGCAGTTGATGTAAGAATGAGAGTATGATACACCTCTAAATTAGATGTTGTTGTATTTTGAAGTTAACCACGATCCACCTTGATGTAATGGCAATATTTGTAATTTCTTACAGAATAGGTCATTTTGGCTGCTTAGGACTCATGGAAAGAAATTAAATAATCACTCCCCATCACTGGTATTTGGCTCATGCTTTTTTAAATCTACAGTTGTGAAGCTATCATCTTAAGCTCTGTTAAGCAGCTAACTGGTAGATAGCTACTCAGCAGATAATCCAACCGTTTTCATAGCTTTGTGCAGTTTTAGACAGGAAATGTGTTAGGGTTTTTGACCGCGAGTACTCAGGAATCATTGATGGCGTTTTTTTTCTGTTCCACTGTTCCTTTAAACCTGCAAATTATGCTTCCAGCTGTATCTACAGAAACTTTCATTGTTAGCTTTTGCATATTGTTTGTGCAAGGCAAGCGATAACTTACTGGACTTAACCCCCTCTTCCCTAGAGGTCCAAAACATTTAGGAGCAATAGCACTGCAATGGGATTTATCCAGCCCCTTCAGATGTTCAATACAAAGCATTCCTGATGCGACCAATGAAACCATTGATCGGTTACTTTCGGTGTTATCTGGGACCACAGCCAATTATGATTTCTGTTCAGGAGACTAAATAATTCATTGAATGTCTGGAGGTATATTTGAATAGTCTTCTTGTAGCATTTGTTTTATTTAAATATCTAAGCCTGCTTTATTCATTTGAATTCAAATTTATAAATGAGCCGTGGGCGTTGAATTACTTTAGTTGCAGCTGTACTTGTGTTAAGAATGAGAATGCTTGTGTTAAGAATGAGAATGCCAAACAGGGATGTTTACTTGAAAACTACTCATAGTCAGTGTATCAACATAAAAACAACAATGTTGCAGCAGTAGAAGTAATTGTTGCCTCTGCATTAAATACAACACAACTGATCACATATTTCTGATCTACATGTTTCTTTATTTACCGTGGTGTCAGGAAATAATTGTGTTTTTACTGAAGGTTAAGTGAATTTGAAAATCTCTTTCTGGTCTTCACTGTCCAGAGTGTATCCAGTCTCCTGTCCTAAGGTTGATGGATTTGGCTCCAACCCCCTGCAGACAGAGCTGATCTGGTAAATAAAATGATAATAATATTGTTATTATTAAGGACCAAGAACTGAATTAAATGGTAAAGCTGCTGTGGCTTTACCAGATCAATTGCACATTTATCCAACACAAATCTAAAATCATCCTCAGAAAAGCATCATGTTTTTATGATTGACTCACAAGAAAAGCAGTTCTGAATCCACATCCAGAGACGTTTCAGATGCTTTAACCAGCAGAGGGCGCTAAGCAACAACGTTTACTGTACATCCATAAATAGTCCACTTCATAATGTCATTATTATTATTATTATTATTATTATTATTATTATTATTATTATTATTATTATTATTATTATTATTATTATTATTATTATGTGTTACTTCAGACCTCTGATTAGTGTCTACTGTTTTCAAAGACTTAAATATTTGAGGAAATGTTGAGCTGCATGTGCAGTGACAGACAAAACATAATGACGGCACTGTGCTGCTGATTGAAACCTACTTTCATAAGCCCTGAAAACTGCAAGTCAGATGCTGAACACTGACAAAATTCTGTAAAAACTTTCAGTGAGAATTTTCTGCAGGTGAGATTTTTATTTTATTTATTTTTTTCTCCAAGCTGTGCACAAGATGCTGCTGAGATGGCCAAAGAGAGCGCCAGCAACAAAGAGCTGTCACAGTCTGACAGAGCATCCAAAAACAGCTGCTCAGTCACAAAACATTCACACTCTATGAAAAAGCCATAACAGTTTCCTGAAGAGAAGGATTCACCATTTTTTTCTCTTAATTTAATGTTGGACTCTAACCTGTCAGGGGAAAGTTGAGCCAAAATGAAACCATAAAAGTTGATAAAGGATATATTTCCAGCATGTGATCAACTTTATGACGACCGCCTGTTGTAACGTTTTAGTAAATACCAGAGGTATTTCTGTTCTGGTCAGAAGTTTACAGACAATTCATACCATACCATACCATACCAACTTTATTTATAAAGCACTTCAAAACAACCACAGCTGATACAAAGTGGTTAAATATTTTTGTTAGGTCTTT